GATTAAGATCACGTGCTAAACTGATACGATGTTAGATGAGAATTAGGGATTGCATGCATCGACAATGATTGATTGTGTGCATAAGCACATATATAGGTAAGGGGGGGGGGCTCTACTTGTCTCTCAAGAAATACAAATATACGGGAAAGAGAGGAGGCACGGCAGTACAAAATACACAAGCCCTAGTACTATACATGTGCACAGACAACGTATGCTCAACAAGATGGATGGAGTATGTTTCTCTGCCATGGCACATATACATACAATATAGTAATAGCTCGTACTCCCTCCGTTCAAAAATTCTTGTCTTAAATTTATCTAGATACAAATGTATCTAACACTAAGATGTGACTACATACATCCATATTTAAGCAAATTTAAGACAAGAATTTTGGGACGGAGGAAGTATTTGTTTTCTGGTATAAAGAGCCAATGGCGATGAGGATGGTTCAACAAATAATAAGCATGTTTTCATGTGACTCTTGGGAGATAAAAATGTTCATGGAAACAAGTTATGCTGTGTGTTGGGTGCGTACAAAAGATGTGGCATTCCTTACAAATACCCAATGTGTCACACTACTATGCGGTACAACTGCACGCTTCATGATCCATTCAACGGCAAAGCTGCTCTCTCCCAAAAGAAAAGAAAATGAAAGAAGAAAAAAGCTGCTACACACAAGAGTAAACAAATTTTTTTGCCCCTTATTGTTTCTTTGCTCTTAAACGAACGAAGCTAGGCTATATGTCGAAGGGAGTAACGGAGCAGTACGCATTATTTCTTCTGAGCGTAGTGGTGACGAGTCTGCTAGCTAGCGGGTGTAGGCGACGATCGCTGGTATCGGTTGAGGTCATCCCAGACCAAGTGCTCGACCTCCTCCCACGACGTTGCACTTCTCAGCTCCTTCCACAGCCCAAATATAGCCGCCAACACGTTGTCCTCGTGCAGCAGGCAGTAGCACCTGTAATGTAAGAGCACCGCGCATCAGAGCCAAACATGTTTCTCCCTCCCTTGGGAGACCGACCGACTGACAAACCAACAAGGATCACTGATCATTCCGAGATAGAGCGCAGGGAAGGATAAAACACGGATAATGTGGACTGCTCTGATTTACTATTTATGTATGTATGCACTTACATCGCGCGGTATGATGCAGTGCAGAACTTCGAATTTCGCACCGAATAGTAGATATCATTGTTTGATTTCCCTCTCAGGAAAGGAAGCTGGTAGCTTCCTAGGTACTCCCTGAGAAGATCAATATCCCCACGGAAAACATCCAGGTGCAGCGGAATCAAGTCACATAGAGGATCCCCTGTTACGACAAACAGTTTTTTGTCGCAATCAAATTAAGATCAAATAAGTATAAACTTTGTTTTTACAATCTAACAGAAGTTTTCACAGTGCAGACTGGTAGATATGAGCAGCTCAATTTAAACATTTTTACAGATATATAGTTATCCCATCTTCGGTTTCAGATGCCAGTATTACGCAAACTATTTCGTTAAATGTTCAAATGAAGCAATGTCAGATTTCCAGGGAACAAAGTGAACTGGCTGCTTACCGATGGACAGATCACTGAAGTCAATTATATTAATTGCATCCAGTTTCTCCAGATCTCTGTCACCAGTGCTTTTGGCATCAGTGAGGGACCTCTGAGTAAGAATGTTATCGTCCATAATATCTGAATGTATCCAACAAGGGAATGTGTACACTGAGTCACCATCGTCATCCTGATTGTCCAATCATACCATTAAACACAAAGTTCGACCCCAGATGCATATGAAGAACACGAAATTGAAAAAGTACCTTAACGAACTTGATTAGAGAGCTCATATCAGCAGGGAGATATTCTTCAGCCTTCTCAATTAAAACTGTTGGGACAGTACCCCCCCTTCACAGATATGTAAACAATGTTGAGGTATGAGGCAGCGTATGGAATTCTATATCAATATAATATTATGGATTTATGGTAGGCTTGTAGCATTTTGGCTAAAACAACTCAATACCAAATCAATGCATAGTCATTGCTACTTATATTTTGCTAATGTTGAAATGTTAAAATAATTTTGTCAAAAAACCATTTAAAAGAAATTCCGTCAAAAAAGAAATGTTAAAACAATAAATAATGTAATGATTATTTATTGGATGCCTGCCTCTACAATTTTTTTGTAACCCAATACACTTTAGTAGAGGATTTTAAGTTGCAAGTGAACCACTCTATAATTTGACAATATCTTCTTAATCACTTTACATCGACTGTGGTCTGTGGACACAAAATTGATTTGCAGACCCACAGTTATCGGATAAAATAAACCTGAGCAACAAAATGTCCTGTTTTAGTAAAACTCATAAAAACTAGCCAAACAAACCTGCTTTAGAAGTTTTTCACTTACCAGTTTGCTAAGTGCTTCTTTATATTATTCTTTCTTCCGTTTAGAGTAGAAATTACTTGTTTCCATTCAGGTGGATCACTGTCTCTCACATTATTGTCTTCAGGTTTGGGTAATGGTTCCCCATGTGGAAGGGGTAATAAATGGATATTTCGCATTTGAACTCCCAAGGATGATGCCAGATTCAAAAGGTCAGCCTTGGACAATGTATCACGGCTAAGAAAAAATGAAGAGCACAGTAAGCACATATTTACATAATTAATCAAGTAATTACTCCCATTTTCACTTGACAAATGAATAAAACTTACACACGAGCAAAGATATCCCCTTCGCATTTTCTGGTAACCATGTAAGGCCAAATAGGTTTGTTTGAACATTCAGTGGAACTATCCATTCCAAACTGTTGTTTGCTCCATAATCCAAGAGGAAAACAGCTGTTTGCATAAGAAAGCTCCAGAGGATAGTATTTAGCCAAAACATCTGGCATTCCTTTTCCATCCCATGGGACTGTTCTGTAGACGCCATCTTCGTACACAAGAAATCCACTTGCAATGAATGTGGTTGATCAAAGGCGAGCCAACTTTTCGCAGAAGATCATAGAACTCAAGCTGCATCAGGAAAGTGATCAATATCGTGAGTGTTGCATTCAATTTTATTAAGTTGCAGAACCAATGCAACATTACCTCTGTGCCTAAACCATGGGCAGAATAACCCAGGCCTCCTTCAGCATAGATTTTAATCACATAGTCAGAAACAATGAAGACCTGAAAATTTGTGGTACAGGTTATATTCACATACCATGCAACAATGAGTGTATATGCAGCGTAATATGACACTAACTGGCACCAAAGGAGTATCTTAGAATCTCAGATATGTTTAATGTCTTGGCATCGGCGCATAGCAGTGAGCAAGTATGTATATCTATAAATCTTCTAAAGCCGGAACCAACCTTGCAAGGTTGAACCACAGATGCAGTAACAAGTAAACCAGGATATTCTACACGAATCAATTTCTGTAGATAACCCTAACACGTCGAGTAAGTATTTCGAACCAACACGAATTATATGATACTAACACGCCAGAATTTTTTATCGACAGTTCTAAATCTGAGACAGCAAGTAAAAGTAATTGTATACTACTGGGTTGCTACCTGTGCCAACAGGAAGCTTCTCATCCTCTGACGGTGGTGGTAAACTATGACATGCACTTATTTCCTCTAAGCATGCATACCATTTGTCCACACTTATTGCTAGGCATGCACCTTACAGAAATAGACATATATATTGGCACAAGGAACAGAACATTATCAAGAAACAGATATATAAACCACATGGTATTTCATATAAAAATTGACAAAGTAAAATTTATGTAAATGATGGAACAAAGATCACCTTCCATATTAGTCCTCTCAGTTCAGGCTTAAGAACCCATAGCCTTCGCAGCCATTCTCTTGCTTCTCTCTGGCCAATTGGATTAGTAGGACTCCAGACAGAAGTATAGTGATCTTTTTCTTTCTCAAGAAATTGGGATAAGAAACCTATATCATACGAGAAAACTTGGTTCTCCAAACTTTCATGGACGTCTGAGAACTCAAACGAAGCACACTGATTTGCACTGTTTGAAGCTCTTACGGACCCTGAACCTTTCAGTCTTTTTTCTGCACGAGTCATGTCATTGTGGTTCCATGCAGTCATTGTTCCAGGTGGATGATTTTCAATATCTCTAATAATTTTTTCCGGAACAGCAAGTAAGCCAGCACGACAAACTCCTTTGTGACAATGACCAGGTGCCATGTCTAGACATACATGCTCAAAATTCGATTGATTGACAAAGTTTTGTGTAACTGCAACAGTAGTCTCAAGGTTTAGAACACAATGCCACCATCCACTAGGAACAAATATAGTCTCTCCTGGTAATTGTGTGCATTCCAGTGGTTTCTCGTGTTCAGCAAAGATGAGGATAGATATCAAGCCACCACTGCAAACGATCAAACTAATGTGAAATGATATGGGGGTAAAGTTTGGAGAAAAGCAAAAACAGTAATAAGTTAATTACCTGCAAAGACGTTGGAGTCTCAATGTCAACATCACCATCCTCATCACTTACATGTACCGTGACACCACCAGGCACTCTTCCTGGAGGGTACAGTGCCCATCTATGAAAAAACGTGGATATCATTAATGGAAACACAAATTGTCTCTTCCAATTTTTCAGCATTCTACAACATGGGACAATCAGCTTTAACAGGTCAAGAGGAATACAAATTTAGGTTGTATAGCATATCATCACACCGTTCACAGTATAGGGTTACGATTTTTAAGTTCCAATTAAAATACAAAGCAAGCACTCAAGTTGAATCACATCTTTCTACTGCCCACAGCTATCTTCTGTCTCTGTTCAACATATATGAATATGCGTAAGATTCTCGCATGATTCTCTCTCACTCCCAAGACATTAACTATGGACATCCTGACTAAATTTGTCTATCGTTAATTCAACACACCCAATTGGCTGATTATTTCTGAACAACTGTTTTTTCACATCATTACAAAATAAGCAACACACAGAACAGCGACCACAAACTGCATCAAAATAGAAGCACTGCAATGACCTTAAAGAGCCAATAGGCAAGAAATTTTGCAAAAGATCTGTGAACGTTTATTTAAGGACCCTGATAAGTGCCACATGTCAGGTATGAGCACATGGCAACTCCGAACGTTTTTTATGGGAAGTTTAGTGACGCGAGGATGGCAACTTTAGTTGCCAAGCATGGCAACTTTCATGCTTCAGTTTATTTTCGACAGAAATTGCCGTGTGTCACTGGAATTTGCCATCCTTGCGTGACTGGAATTGCCATGGAAAACATCAGGGCCGAATGCCACGCACCTGAGTGTGACACTTATCATTTGGGTTATTTAACTGCTACTAGTAGCTTTCAAATTTACAATTACATGGTGAATACCACAGCTTGAGTACACTACCGAGTAAATACGCACACATATATATATAACACATGATCCAACCTTTTTCGGCCACAAAGAAGAGTATTCCACGCACTGGTTAATCCTGGATCAACATGCCAAGAGGCACCTGATCTTTCTGGTCCAATAATAAGCCATCTGAAAGCAGGTCTTTGTTCATAATCCAAGACACCAAAAAGATCTTCTTGAAATAAATGAGGGACTCTGTAATCTTCCAATAGTGCTGGTGTTGTTTCTCCAAACTGTAACAATTTTCTGAACTAATTTTTTTTTTCTTTTCATAACTTTAGTAGTAAATGAAATGAAGTGATGATTACCTTATCATCAAATATATAAAGAGGATCTTCGTTATGCTGGAGTTCCATGTAAGAAACATAGTCTTTCAGTTTCATTATTATCTTCTTAGGGCTTCTCTGTGATATCCTAAATGTAACTTCACCATAATCATGCACCAGCTGCTGAATTGTCCATTTAGTCCTTGCTGGCCAGGTTTCAGCCAGCTTACCAAGCAAAACCTAGTTGTGCAATACGATCAGTATGATTTCAGAAAAACATCATTGCAAAACAATAATGTAGAAAATCCACATGTTGTAAATCTGAATTAAAAGCAAAAGATAATTCAATTCTTACTGGGCCTTTTCCATCATACTGAGAATGGAAATGATCCAAAGAAAGGTCATCCTTTCTTTCCACATGTCCATTGTCAAAGGAATAACTACTCAAAGTAGTAAAACATCTATACCATCTCCTGTATAAGAACAAGTAATTGAATCCTGCATGAAAATAAGTATGAATAGGGAGATAAACAAGGCAAATAGAACAAACATAAAGTAGATGTACCATACCATCAAAATGATGAGCCTTCTGCTCAAGCTCACTATTTCCGGAGCGAAGACTAAGCCTGAAAAGGAAGCAATCAGTGTCTAACCTTTTCAGTCAGTTTAGGATTATTTTCGAATACAGAATGTAGCACGACAAGATAGAATGGTCATATACCTAGACAATGTTGTTTTCTTCCAGGAACCTTTGTACTCAAGATGACCACCAACAGAAAGATATTTACTCATCCAGAGAGGTTCCTCGTTGCAAAGTATGTACATGATACTGCAAAGTGCAAAATGATTTAAGGTACCGCTTCATCCTACCACCGTTTTAAGGTAGAAAGACAAACATAACAGATGTTCTTAGCTCATGATCTCTAGATAATGACAATGTCATAAATCAGGAGCTACTCCCTCTGGTCCTCTAAAACCTGCCGTTTAGGACACAAACATGGTCTTCAAAATACAATTTGGACCACTAGTTTCTTTAAAATCATCCATAAAATCTAAAAAAAATGTATATTATGGAAATACTTCTCGAGACAAATTCACTGATTTTCAGGTATCTAATATAAATGTTCGTAAAGATAAAACTGGTAGTCAAAATTTCAAAAAATTGGCTCTACCTTTGTCTAAAACGACAGCTTTTACAGGACTGGAGGAGTATGCTTTTATACCTGTCCAGCCCAAAATAGATGATCTTTTTATTGCAGTGCATACGGAACATGAAAGAAACTAGTGCTTCACGATTTTTGTCTATTTAGCTGTATAATTATTATGTTTTTACTTCTACTACTGCTACTACTAGTAGTCTAGTACGATTACCAATACCAATAAGCATTTTGTGGATTGTTGCATAAGAAAAAAAAACATTGAGAAACAAAACAACTCGCTAACATCTATTTCGGACCGGAGACAATACTCTGATAGTAACTTCAATTTCCATGTCTTCTAATTCTCTGGAACAAACTGATTGTTATATTATACTTAAAGAGTTATGATACCAAACACATGAAAGGATCGGCCCTACATATGCAGGCCTGGCTTAGTTACATATACGCCATGGAGCAGTCTAATTCTAGAGGATAAACATGAAGAACGGATCAAATATGTCTTCGGTCTTGGCAGCGAGGCAACTCTCTTCGTCTTAAATCTTAATTCACAGATTGAGGAAATATTTTTCTTGACTTTATAAAAGAAACATATTAGTAAAGAGAGTCCGACATACAGAAATGAACACGGACGGTTTTGAGTTTTGACCATTGAGCTGATCCAAATGTTCCACATGTAAGTTTCACTTAAATCCTCAGGAAACATATTGCTGGGTCTCATTTATGCACATTAAAACCTTCTGTCACTTTAAAGAAAAATCTGGCCGCCCAGGCGGTTTGCTTTATATATAAAGCGGGGCGAAAGCCTTTTTCGGTATTTACTTCCCCATGGATGATCTTTTCTGTAGCGGTAGCTCATAGGAACATATATATGACACAGCAAACCTCCGTTCTGGCCCAGTAGCTCATACCATCATACCGCCGCCGTATGTGTCATTTGGCCCATAATAACGCTTCAAAGCGATTGTTTCTTGCGGTCGCACTGCTGTGAACATCAATGGGGAGATCCGCCCTTACTTCCCCACCCTTTGTGGGGTTAGACAAGGCGACCCCTTCTCCCCATTCTTGTTCAACATGGTGGTGGACGCGCTTGCCGCCATCTTGGATAAGGCTAAGGCTGCTGGCCATATTCGTGGGATCACCCCCCACCTGGCCGGCGGCTTCGGGATCTGCCTTCTCCAGTACGCCGACGACACCATCATCATGGTCGAAGACTCGGAGACGGACATCTCTAATCTTAAGTTCCTTCTCCTCTGCTCCTAACAAATGTCTGGCCTTAAGATCAACTTCGACAAGAGTGATGTGATGGTGATGGGCTACTCCCCGGCCGAGTGCCAGGACATTGCCAACCGGCTCAACTGCCACCTGGGTTCCTTCCCCACGACCTACTTGGGAACGCCCATTAGCGACTCCCGGCTTACCGTTGCGGACTTGCGTCCGACTGTGGCCAAGCTGCAAACGCGCATGGAGCCTTGGCAGGGCAGGTGGTTGTCTAAGGCGGCACGGACGATTCTCATCAACTCCTCCCTCTCCAGCCTCCTCTTGTTCCTCATGAGCTTTTACAGCCTTCACGAGACTCTGCACCATGAGATCGCCAAAGTCCAGTGTCGTTTCTATTGGGCAGGCGACAACAATAAGCAGAAATACCATATGGTCAGCTGGCCTGACATTTGCAAGCCCCGGGAACAAGGAGGCCTCGGTATTATGTGCTCTAAGCGCATGAATATCGCCCTCTTATCCCGTTGGCTCTGGCGCATCTCGCAAGGCCACGGTGGCCTCTGGCTAGACATCATCCGGAACAAGTACCTGCATGGGCAACCCCTAGCCTTCTGTCAGAGATCTGGTGGTTCCCAGTTCTGGCAGTCGGTCGTCCAACTTCTCCCAGTCCTCCGCATTGGGACCTCCATTTCGGTTGGATCTGGGGCTGCAACTTTGTTCTGGTTTGCCCGGTGGGCTGGAGACACCCCCTTCGCTGCGCGCTTCCCCGACCTCTTCTCCATCGATGTCGACCCTTCGATCTCAGTAGAGAGGGCCCTTATTGACTTGGGGCGCCTCGCATTCCGGAGGCCATTTGGGCCCTCGGATTTCGCCGCTTGGCGTGAGTTACTTGATTGCATCGCTCTCCACGAGCCAGTTGTGGACGCCGGCCTGGATCAGGTGAGATGACGCCTTGAGCCGTCAGGCCAATTCTCCACCTAGTCCCTCTACCAAGCCATCGCCCCCTCCACCGCCCCTCCCCCCCTTACGGCGGTGTGCTCCATCCGCCTGCCTTTGAAAATCCGGATCTTCATGTGGCAATGGATCCGCGGACGGATCCCGTCTGGGGTCGGGGTGCGCAAGCGCAATGGCCCGAGCTCTGTCCTTTGCCCGCTTTGCGGTGTCCCAGAAGACTCGAATCACATCTTCTTCTCTTGTGTGTCCGCTCAATTTGTGTGGAGCTGCTTTAGAGAGGTGGTGGGTGGAATTTGGTGCCACACCAACTTCCCCGACCTTTTTGCCGAACTCCAGAACTCCCTCCTGCCTTCTCGCCACATTAGGTGGCTTGAGATTGGGGCCATCGCTTGGACCCTCTGGACGATCCGCAATAAACTTGTGATCCAGCGCACTCCTCTTCGACGAGCTACTGACGCTATCTTCAAACTGTCTGCAGCTTTGGCGGCCGCTTAGCCGCCCACAGGACCGGGACGCCATCTCCGTCTTCATCGCCGACCTTCGCTTGATGGTCGTCCGTCTGTCGCCGCCGCCCCCTCCGTCACCGCCGGAGCCAGACTAGGCGCTTGGCTCGCTCTCCGGCGCTCTTTTTTCCTTTTGTTTGGGCTTGTTGAGTTGTGCCCTCAGCAGAACCTGTTGTACTCTCTATTGTGTGACTTGGGTGCATGTGTTTGAACTAGTCCTTGTATGTGTGCTCTAGCGGTTTGCTTTATTTATAAAGCGGGGCGAAAGCCTTTTTCGGTAAAGCGACCATAACCAAACAAAATTCAGAATCACGCATGGCTAGCTAATCCACTTGGGTTGAGTGGTCACCATTAAAATCAAAGGGCAAACCTCAGAATCCACATTCTTAGCTAACACATGGAGGTAACTGCAAAGCAGAGGAGAAAGGAACAGAAGGGGGGGAGAGAGAGAGAGACGCGGCGACCTGCTGACGCATGCGAGGCGGCCGATGTCGGTGGGCTGGAGGAGGTCGACGATGGCGCAGAGCAGCTCGTCGGGGAGCACCGCCAGGCTCCCCAGCGCCGCGTCCCTCCGGTCGTTCCCCGCCGATTCCATCGCCGGCGACCGGGCCGGATCGGTGGGCTTGCTGGGTTTGGGTGCGTGCAGGGAGGGAAGGAAATAGCGCGTTGGGGAGAGTTGAGCCGGGATGGACACGGACCGCGTGACCACGCGGTGGGCCGGAGTATACATGGCCAAACCTCGGGCCGGGCCGGGCCTAGCCAAGCCCGACACAAAAAATCCAGGCCCGGGCCCGGCCCGGCCCGACCATCGGGCCTGTGTTTCTGGGCCCGAACCCGGCCCGAACACCTAAAAGCTCGTCGGGCTTCGGGCCGGCCCGGCCCGACCTTCAGTAAACTGCAAAAATGACGGGCCCGGGCCCGGCCCGGCCCGGCCTTCGGGCTCAAAAACTAGACCCGAGCCCGGCCCGGAGGTAGCGTCGGGCCGGACCGGGCCAGGCTTTTTCGGGCCAGGCTTCCCATGGCCAGGACTAGGCCGGAGGAATTTATTTATAGTGGCTAGCTTTTTGAAAAGCTTGGACCCGTATTGGATTCGTTGATGCGACCTGTTGACTCCATCGTTTGGGCACGTAGGGGGGCACGCAACTGTTCAGACTTGTTTTACTAAAAAAATAACGTTCAGACTTGTACCCCTCAAAAATAAAAATCTTCAGACTTGCCCGACATAGCTTGGGCGAATGCGGTTCGAACGAGGAGGGCATGATAACCCCTTCTGAAAGGCATTATGTCAAAGCTGAAAGGTTCCAGATGATAGTTGTTCGGGATACTCAGCCTTCATGCCCGAGATCATATCCTTGAATTTTAACTTTAGTTGGCTCGATGAGAGACTCATTGAAGCAGTGGCGGAGGCACCGCCCAGCGATCCTGGGCACTTGTCCGGGCTTGCTGGTCCTCGACACCGAACGATCGACTGAATTAATGAAAGGCTAAACACGTATTACCCGGGCAAAAAACTTTTGGGCCTTCATTTCTCACAGGTGCACGCAATTCAATGCCCAACAACAGACTGCAGCCCAGCTTCCCAGGCCGAACCAATTTCTATATCACGAGTTTGATCGATTGCACGTATTCCCTGACTCCCTAACCGGCTAACCCTAGATGGCTAGGCGCATGGCTGGCGGCGAGCGGACGCCATCAGGCCATGTGCCTAGGGGCCCAGGCAGTCTACTCGAGTACTCGTCCCTCAACACCTCCTTCCTCTCATTCGGCTTCGGCCTCCTCCGATAAGAAACTGAGAATCCTCCGTTGAAATTAGGGCTAGCCGGCTAGGGATCTCTCATCTCTAAGTAGCTGGTCTGGGTTAGGAAATGAATTGTTCTTGCAGAATTAATTGGAAGGCAGCTCGCATCACTGACCATCTTTCCTCGTCTTGAAAAAGAAGGGGAGAGAAAACAGATTACTTTGTGTTGAACACTGGCCGGGGCATAGAAAGTTTGATCCTCATATGATTTTCTCATATGATTTTCTCATGTGTAAGTATTTATTATCAGGTTGATTAACCTGTAGTAGAACTAGTATATTCATCTTGCTGACCATGGATTCATGCAATATTCTTTATCTTCTTGTCGCTTCATACTCATAGAATGCATATATTTTCTTGACATGTAGTTTGTGGTCTTTCTGCTGGTAAAGGGGAAGAAATATTTCACTATATTCAGTTTGGTTAACCGTAAACTAAATAGGGTCCCATAACGTCCACACGTGTGGGCGTTAAGGGGTCCGATCACACGTTTCGTGTGGTATCTAAGGAACTAGTCCACACGTCTACGTGTGGGCAAAACAAATAATGCCCACACGCTCGGTCTTTTGCCTCGTGGTCCCTCTCACACGCCTATGTGTGTGCAAAATAGATAACGTCCACACGCCCGTCCACACGGTCCCGCACGCTCCGAGTGACAGTCACCACGCGTCCCCGCAGTTGCCATGGTCTGGACCCTCTTTCATGTTCATTTAACTGCAGTTGCCATGTTGCTGAACTACAGTTGCCATGTCTGATAACTATAGTTGCCATGGTAGCTCAACTGCAGTTGCCATCTCAGGTCAAGTGCCGGATGTCATTTTTGGACAAACTGCAGCTATTGCCATGTATGATCTGGTCTACTACAGTTGTCATGATTTGAAAACTTTAGGAGTTGCCACCTACTAACACTAGGCAGTTGCCATGTGGCACTACAAAAAAGGCATGGCAAAAAAACATGTTCGGGTAAAGAGAAAGTTGCCATCTGCTTACAAGCACGCTAGGGCAGTTGCCATGTACCCTGCAAAAACACATGGCAACTCGGGTGAAAGAGAGTTGCCACCTGCTTACAACCATGCTAGGACAGTTGCCATGTACCCTGCAAAACACATGGCAACTGACAGCTTTGGGTGTGGGACAGGAGACGGGCGTGTGGGCGAACTGATAAACACCCACACACCAGCCCCTCTGCGTGCGTGAAAACTGGTGTGTGGGCAAATTGCTAAACGCCCACACAACAGCCCCTCCGCGTGGTAAAACGGACGTGCGGGCGACCGGATAAATGCCCACACACCAGCCCAGTCCTACGTGGCAGGTAAAACATGCCAAGATTTGTGCAAACACAAACAGACGTTGATCCATGCGTGTGGGCGAGATGCAAACGCCCACATATGCAGCGTTAGTATTTCCGACTAAATATTGCCGGTGTTAACGACGTTTGGTGTGAGAGCTTTTTCAGCAATAACTGTGTAGCAAGATCAATAATGAATGGTTCAATGACTTGATGATATGTTACACCGAGCGGGAGTTATTCAAGTCAGTTGATGATAAGGATATTATTTAAACATTTACTGCAATGAATTCTCGAAGAAGGCATTTGCCTCGTGATTTTCTCTAGTGCAGGTATGTTCCATTCGACCATCTATTTCCTTGCAAGCTTTTTATTTTGAATATATTCACATCTCAGAACTAAATTTATTTCAAGATGTCGATTGCCTCCCTTGCTATGTATCTTTTGTTGTCAAGTCTCGTCTTTATTTACTCTACTAGATAGTAAGTGCGGCTTGCCGCACCCCACCCGCTCCAGCCATATCCAACCTGGTATGAAACAATTTATATTTCATACGATTTTACGATGAAAGCAATAGTGCAAAAGTTCAGTATGTTACAGAAAAAGTGAAAGGCATAGTTTCTATACAAACCATAGGCATAGTGTATAAGAACATGTGTTACACAGAATTTTTATTGCCCAATACTTTTGCAGTTGTACAGGCCACATGTTACAGATAGATAAGGTGCCCACTGATAAAACAAAAAATTACGAATAGGAACACAAGCCTTTGTTTTCTCCCTAACAGATTGACTTGGAGCATGTAAATGCTCAACTTGCGATGATAGCATGCAGGTTTTCATGTGTTTGCGGATGGTGTAACTTGCACAAGTAACTCCATTCTTAGTCGGACAAAATGATGACAGGTTTCATTTCTCCATGGAGCTGCCAGATCAGAGAAACAAAAAAAAATTATGAGAAGAGTAAACCGGAGATGTCATGAATATAAATTTGTCAAAGGTGCAGAGATCAATGCACGGTATTTATCAAGCCGAAACATGCTAATTGGTTTGGGAGTATAACATTCACTTGATTTTATGTGGAAAAAAGGGGGTGTCTACCTGATTGATGGTGGATGTAAGTGTGAACGAGGCAATGTAACTACAATCACCCATGACGATGCCTTCACAACAATAAAACAACCCAGCAAGGCCGAAAGACTCGCATAAGGGCATAGTCTCCATAAATACTTGATTTAAGCACCAAAAATCAGATCAAAGCATGATATAGCAATAGTGGTTCAACATAAAACAACATTTTAGAGGCAAGCATAATATACATATGATTCAATACAAAGTATAACATATACAGTAATAGTGGTTCTTTACAAAGGGCAAGCATGTGTATTTTTTTGTTTTGATTTGCACTGTGGTAATGAAAATAATATCACAAGTTTCTTTAGTTAATACAAATGAATATGAACCCCCAGGAAGATAAAAAGTGAAGTAGCATACTACTGTTTCTGAAGCATTTGACTACATACATGAAGTGCTTTTGAATATAATATGAATTTCCACCATCCTAAAGGGAAAGTAAATACAGAAACACATCGTTTATGTTCTAGGCATTGTTATATATCAAAGAAAGAGGCGAAAACAGGCAAAGCACAAACAATTTTATAGTGGAGAACTCGACATACAACTGGCTGGCTTCCTGAGGCCGAAAATGTTCACATGTTATATATTACCCACTTTACCGCTAGTATATATACAATTCAAGACATGATAGAAGTTCGGTACGCAAGAATTAACCTGAGTTTGTTTGTTCAAAGGGCTTCTTCCCCATGAAAGGCTCACATTCTGACCACCAAAAAAGGTCCCATGCAGCAGTTGCAGAGCTTGCTCAGCAGAAGGCCTGAATATGCAGTGACAGGAGTAATTTAGCCACATCTCTTCCAAACAGGGATCTTGACATGGACGACTTCCCCATATGGAGCGAACACTTGACATTGGAGTCATGGCCTCCAACAAATATCTGAGAACAAAGAAACAAATGTGTTCAACACACTGAAAATCAATTGGTGTAATACAGAAAAGTAGAACTAAGAACGTGCGGTGGTATTGTTACGATCATTGTCAGACTAAGCTCCTTGAGTATTTTTATTGGTATTGGTACTGTAAATGAAAGCAAAAAAGAGTGAAGGAAATACGTTGTAAGACTTGTTAAATAACAAAGGACAAATAAAGCCTACAGGCTGAAACTATTGTAGATTCAAAAGGCACATCCCATATTTAATTCAAAATGAGCATAGATATGAACCTGAACTATTTTATCTAAACATATGGTTAGGATAAGCCTAAAAGAGCTAGATTTACATGCCTGAGACACTGTAGATTTTCTATTCAAGCATATAGTCAGGATTCTTGCCTACGCTGCTTCTTCTCAAAGCTGTCAACCACGGTCGCATGCCTTGCCATGAGCTTCTCCTGCATCTCCCTCTCCTTCGCAACCAAGCCCTCTAGCTGTAGCAACAATGCACAAAAAGTATGATTTATTTTTGGTAATCAGAATAAATGCGGAAAGGCGGTCAAGATTTAGATTGCATGACATAGCAAAGGAAAATATGTTTCTCAATTTCATTTTTTTATATACAACATAAATGCGGTCGCAGAAGTTTGTTGAGCAAACCTTTGGCCATATCTGATAAGACTGAGGGGATGACTATACAGATAACAACAGCCGCTTCAGCTCTTTCACTAATTCCTTAAACTGTGCATCAGCAGCTTTATGAGCTGCTTTGCAAGATTTAGCGCCTCCGGTCCTAGACAAATCGTGCAATGATGTCTCTAGCTTATCATGAACAGCTAAGCACTGGTCAAAGATACCCTGGATTTGCTGAACAGTGGCTTGCAGCTGCACCAGGAGAACAAAAGAGCCATCAGAAATCAGAACTGCAGAATACTGAAGTTACATAATCAAAACGGTACCAAAAAAACTGCACAAAGATGACCACAAACTCTTTATTTACAAGGGGGAAAATATGATTCATTATTCCAACCCATAAACTTAAGGTCAATCCAGTTTAGGAAGTGGTCATGTCTCCTACCTATTAATTATTAGGTTTTAATTTGATCTGAAATAAGTGGCACATACAGGCCTAAGTACTGCAGATTCAAAATCACATGTTGTATTTTATCTCTTACTAAGCTTATGACCTGAACTATTTTATTTAAACATGTGGTCAGATCCATTGCAAGATAAGGTTTCATTGAGGTCTAGCGCAGCCAGAGGGAGAGAACTGCCAAATTAATCAATGCAAGATAAACATCAGCTTTCCTACTAAATCAACAACGAAACTGCAGTAAGTAGCACAACAGAAGAACCAATGCCAGCAACCAGGCCAAGAGCTCAATGGGAAGTGCAAACCTAAAGTATCATCCGACAATGGCGACTAATCGAGCACCAAAATAATTAATTAACCTGCACACAAGAGGCAGCCTTGAGATAAGAGAAAGCAACACGAAACCCACCTTACTCATTCCGATTGTATGCGTACCCATGCCAAATTAATCAGATCTGAAGAAGAGGGGGAATAACTGGAGAACATTTGAGAAAGTTAGGAGCCTCAGGTTTAGACGCCAATGAGGATGAACCGAGCATGTCAAGCACTATATTCACATAATTAGATGAAGTGGACGTGGCACCAAGCGCTCCTGCTGCGTCAACAACATGATTTACTAATACACGAGCATATCCACGTACCACCAAGCAAAATAACCGAGGAGGGTGGCACTGGATCGATCTACATCGACAACCCGAGTCTGAACCACCAGCAATGAGCGGAGGGGAGGTTTGCTTCTGCTGCTTGTACATCTAGGGTGCGTTTGGTTGCAAGGGCGGTCATGAATGGGTTGGGATCGTTCAGAAAATAGACATGTTTGGTTATAAAGCACATGAATGGTTCGAGCCAAAAAAAGAGAATATGCCATAAAGATGCTGAACCGTTCCACCCAACCAAATCGGTCGAATCAAATGGCCACCCTTTGCATGCATGACTATGTGAGCATGACTGGTGGTCCCGTCCTAAATAATTAGCTCACCACTTATATTCAGCCAAACACATGAATTGAATGGTTCAATCCCAAAAAAATTGAACGGTCCCAACCCATTCATACAACACCTTCAACCAAACGCATCCCTACTGAATATATAAAAAAAATGTTATCAGATCCCACATAAAGCAAGGAACAAAATAATCAAAATCATATGCAGCTGAGGAGGAAGATGTACCTAGCAGTGGTGAAGCAGGGAGACTCTCACCAATTATGCGGCTTCTTTCCCGTCGTCGCCTTGGGCACCGACTTCTTCTTCCCGGACGCGGTGCTCTTGCTGGAGCACTTGCAGACCATGGCCTCCTGGTTGGCCTCCGATGCGGCCTTGGAGGAAGCCGTGCGCTTGCGCGACGAGCCCCGCGATGACGTGATGGCCAAGGGCGGTGAGCTGGGCGACGCCATGGGTTGCGTGCGGCTGGCTAGGGTTCCGGGAGAGGAGGCGGTCGCGGTGGATGGGTGAGGAGCGGCGACGCGGAGCAGCAGTGTCCGCGGTGCTTCTCCGACGGCGGCGGTGCGAGGGGAAGGGGAGGGGGCGGCGGCACGAGGGGAAGGGGAGGGGGCGGCGGAACGAGGGGAAGGGGAGGGGGCGGCGGCTTCAACATGAGAGAGATGCGAGGGAGAGACCCAGCCCTAGCTGTCTCACTGATTGGGGAGGGAGCAACCAATGATGAGAAGCCACTTGGCATTGGATTAGGTGAAATGTCACAAATGCCCTCGGCGGGGCATGGGAATTTCGGCGGTGGCATGAGATCTTTTACCGGTGGAGCACGCCGACGGGCCGCACGGGACGCACCTCAGCCACACCAAATGACATGCGGGGCCCACCAGCGGGTTACCCCACACGTCAGCGAGATCAGGCCGAATCTGTGGAGTGAGAGAGACCGGGAGGGGGCGGTAACTATTCATTGCTACAGCGCCGTTTTTTGATCCGGCGGCCCAGATCGTCCAGAGGCTTGATCCGACGGCTAGAATCACATCAGGAAAATGGATCGGACGGTCAGAATCGCCTGATCTCTGAGAGCGCTCGGGAAGCCTTCGATCTCTTATTTCTCGATGAGACGGATATTGATATATTATTATATTAGTTTACTTTAAAATTACATTTTTATGCTTTTATTATATTTATGCTTTCACTTCATTATTAATCTAGATCTATGTCTTGGAAGTCTAGTGTTATATTATATGTTGCTTATCTGAATAAACGATTTTTTTGTTTTTTATATTATACACTTAGGCTCAATATGCCCAGGCTCCACAAAAGTTCTGGCTCCGCCACTGCTTGAAGTACATCTTTTTTAGCCTCGGCGTAGATGAGGTTCAACCTGCTATCACCATCCATCAGGACCTCAATGAGGTGGAAACCGTCAACTATCGAGTTGAGGACGAGCGCGGCTGTGCCGCCGTGGCGGACACTGATTGGGTGGTCACATTGATCAAAGGTGATCGGGATATCTGGCTAGGGGTTGTATTTTGGTTCCGCGGGCTTCACATCATATACCTCGTGGAGGGCGCACTCCCAATCCTCTTGGAGGTGTGAGATGCATATATCATATTCACGTCCTTTATTTGTAGCGGGCAATGTGTCTGCCCGTCGTTCCCTTTGCCAGGCTCATCCTCATCGTTATTGTTATGAGGGTTTTCCTTGTTCGCATTGCTTCTTCTTATCTGCATGACTTTCTTCTGGACCCAGCAATTCCGGTTAGTGTGGGTGGCTGGTCGATCTCTGTCGTCAGGGTGGATGGCATAAGGCCAGTCCAGGATCTTGTCAAGCACCAAGGTGCCCCCGCCCTTCTTGCCTTGGAGCTGCTTCTTTTTGCCACCGCCACCTTGGGGCTGGTTGTTGAATCTGATGTTGACCTCGCCATCTTCGTTGTTGTTGTTATTGTTGTTGTTGTTGTTGTTTCGGTGCTTCTTCCTGTAGTTGCGTCGTGATTTCCTGCTTCTCCACAACCATGTATCTTAACCGAAGAAAAATATGATCATCATCTCCCTGAGCTCAGGCATAGCCTTGGGTTTGAATTGACCGAAGTCCCTGGTGAGGAACTTGTCATCTGCGCCATGCTTGGATGGTGCGATGGCTTGCGGTATATCTCCATGTAAGCTAATTTCCTTCCAAATGTTCTTTACAAGTGGGCACGAAAAAAAGGCAATGTTGGATGTCTTCGACTCTTATTAGGCAGACTTGGCACTAACTTGTTGGTGAGATATGCCTACCAGCAAGTACACCAAGGCAACAAAGCGTGCCATGGAGTACCTTCCAAACAAAGTGCTTAACTTTTCCTGGAACTCGAAGATGGCAAAGGGCCTAGGAATCTGATTGTTCCATGCCAATATTCTACAACTTTCATATACTTTTGGCAACTTTTTATACTATTTTTTGGGACTAACATATTGATCCAGTGCCCAGTGCCAATTCCTGTTTGTTGCATGTTTTATGTTTCGCAGAAACCAAATATCAAATGGAATCCAAACGGGATAAAAACGGACGGAGAATTATTTTGGAATATTTGGGATTTTCCGGAGGAAGAATCAACGCGAAACAGTGTCCGAGGTGGCCACGAGACAGGGGGGCGCGCCCTCCCCCCTGGGCGCGCCTGACACTCTCGTGGGCCACCCATAAGGCGGTTGACGCTCTTCTTTTGCCGCAAGAAAGCTAATTTTATGAGAAAAATCTGGGTGAAAGATTCACCCCAATTGGAGTTACGGATCTCCGGATATAAAGAAACGGTGAAGGGGCAGAATCTGGGAACGCAGAAACAGAGAGAGACAGAGAGATAGATCCAATCTCGGAGGGGCTCTCGCCCCTCCCAAGCCATGGGAGCCAAGGACCAGAGGGGAAACCCTTCTCCCATCTAGGGAGAAGGTCAAGGAAGAAGAACAAGAAGAAGAAGGGGGGCTCTCTCCTCCTTGCTTCCGGTGGCGCCGGAGCGCTGCCGGGGGCCATCATCATCACCGTGATCTTCACCAACAACTTCACCGCCTTCATCACCAACTCTTCCCCCCTCTATGCAGTGGTGTAACCCCTCTCTTACCCAATGTAATCTCTACTCAAACATGGTGCTCAATGCTATATATTATTTTCCAATGATGTATGGCTATCCTATGATGTTTGAGTAGATCCGTTTTGTCCTATGGGTTAATTGATGATCGTGATTGGTTTGAGTTGCATGTTTTATTATTGGTGCTCTCCTATGGTGCTCTTTATGTTGCGCAAGCGTGAGGGATCCCCGCTATAGGGTTTGCAATATGTTTATGATTTGCTTATGGTGGGTAGCGTGAGTGAACAGAAGCACATACCCGAGTAAGTAGGTTGTTTGCGTATGGGATAAGGGGACTTGATACTTTAATGCTATGGTTGGGTTTTACCTTCATGATCTTCA